TAGGTTGCTCTCACTGGTAGGATTGTTCACTGAACTTTTGCACTCTCTCTCTCTCTCTCTCTTTCTCTGCACACGTTTTCTGTTTTTCTCTCTCTCTCTCTCTCTCTCTACCTCCACACGCTTAGCTCCCGCGAAAGGGAGTTGCCCCGAAGGCCCCGCATCTTGCTTGTCTCTCTCTCTCTCGCTCTCTCTGTCTCTCTCTCTGTCCCTCCCTCCCTCCCTCCCTCCCTTTCAAACTGAGCAAGAATGGTTAGATAAGAGCAAACTTTAACATACTTCGAGGTTTCTCACACCTTCGCCGAAGACTGCTGGGAAGAGTAGCTGACGCCGCTGCCACCCGAACCAGCCCGGGGCCGATTGCCGACGCTGCTGCCACCCGAATCAGCCCAGAGCCGCTGCCCTGCCTTCAAAACAGCTGTGGCTGTCAACTTTGTGGAACATGACTGATCCCTAAACTTTTGACCCCTTGCCAGCAGCTTCGTCTCCACGGATGCTTGTTGTTGGTGATTCTTTGTGTGTGGAGAAGGTTTGCCCATCCCCCCCGTTCTCACCTCCCTTCTTCCACACGTGACTACGACGAACAGATGAAGCAATATGAAGCACCATTTCGTCAAAATAGCCGGTAGGCCACGGACAGAGAACGCATGCAGGCAACGCTATTGTCAGCAATGGAACGTGCGGAACCGTGTCCCGCAGGCCACGTTCTTTTGGGGTACACATTGCTTTTGACCGCCGTGGGCCTTTGCGTCTTGGCCGCGTTTGGAACCCAAAGGTGCCCCTGGTTACACCTCAAGATTCAACCCTTATAACAGCGAAGGCCTCAGAGTAGCTGCTATCTGAGCCAAAGCGGAGTCGGTTGCCCCATGGGGCCACAACTGCTTGATCCTGGGCTGGATTTGGCTAACTGTCTTGCAGCCTAGCTAAGCTCGCATATCATCAAGATATGACTAATGGGCAGAACTGAGATATCCAACCCCATCCCAGTCGCAGGGCTCAGGAAGGCCTGAGTGTTTGGCGAAGGCCTCAGCTGCTCGCATTGCATGATCTTCAAAATCTTAAAACTTCGTTTGCATGCCTGCTTCAAGCATGACTCCGTTGAACATGTATGCATCGTGTCAAGTGCTTTGACACCAAGTGCTACCATCAGCCTGCTTGAGCTAGAAATGCCAAGATGCCGGGGTCTCTCTTCAGAAGGTGCCGGAACAATTTTTCGGCTGTCGCCGTCTTCACTGTCTGTGGATAACCGAGCTCGATTCCGCAGAGCCCCATAGTCCTTGCGCGTTGGAGTTGGGGGTCTGAAAGGCGCATGGAGATGCCTGAAGGAGCCGTGTATCAACGCTGAAGGAAGATGGCAGGTGAGCAGGAAGAGCACCGTATGCAAACAAGACCACCCCAGGGCAGGGACACAGCAAAGAGTTTTAGGGTCTAGGCTGTAGGGAAGGGCGAAGCCATAGACGGAGAAGAAGCATGAAACGACGAGCGTGGAGAAGCCTTACTTCAGTAGCAGCTGAAACAAAGGTTGTCTAAGGTGGGTCCAAGCTGGCCGTTCTGGTCAAGATCTTCTGCAACTGCGCCAGGTTGCTCGGTGGGAGGCGCCGCCACTACACGTACGGACACGCCCGCCGATTCCGACCCGGGCAGCACCGAGCTCATCTCAGTCGGCTTCGAATCCTCTGTGTGGCTGTAGCATCGGCGGCAACATCGGCGGCATGGGTCTGCAATGCTTTTGTGCACACATGGCTCCACCACGAGCACAGCACACACGACCACTTGTAGGCAGAAGTGCGCAATGACTACACCAGGCCAACGGGCCAGGTCGTAGATGGCCCCACCAATAGTGGAGGCACTCGCGTAGCCCAGCACATAGCCTAGACCGTATGCTAGAACCATCCAGAGTCTGTGCTGCTCTCAGCCACTACACCAAACTCTGAGAAATGGAAGAAGACAATGGCATCATTGGTGAGAACAGCATCCAAGGATACGCTCACGAATATCTGCAAAGCCACATTCCACTCCTCTGGCAGGCAAGATCCGACAGTCGGTCGATGGCGATTAACAAGCGCGGGCTTCGTTCCTCTCTCTAGGGAGTGTGTTGTCAGCTCCCACTCTGTGATAGCTACAGGCCTTGTTTCGAGACATAGGGTAGAATTCGGTACTTTGAGGGCCTGCCGATTTTGAGGGCTGGAGGCCGTAGGGTCCGCAATCTTACCCTGAGCATCCCATATTGAT